TGACCTTTTTTTTAAATATGATTATTCTCACGCTATTGTTTTACAAAAGGGGTTGTTTTAAATTTTTTGTAAGTGATTTCTGAATCAGGTCCACTTTGAATGAATATTTATTCTTTAGTTTGTTACAATGCAAAACAACGAAGAATTATCTGCAGATTTGTTAGATCCTTATGAAGTTTTATTCTTTTCATGAACACCAGATGAGTTTTTTGAAGATGACGACTTTGATAGTGATGCTGATATTGTGGAATTAACTAATAAAACCGATGCAATTACTCTAGATAATAAAAACCAAATTAATAAAGAAAAGGCTAGAAAAAGAGGAAAAGGACATGAAATAAAGAAGAAAAAAATATAGCTTCAGAAAAAAAAGCTAAAATATTCTCACAGTTACCTGTACCACCTGATTTTAGTTACTTAAAGCATAATATACCATTTCATCAAGGTTTTATTCGATTACCACCAGCATTTCCTGATAACAATATTAGTCTATATGGATTGATTAGGTTATTTTTTTCACAAACAATTCTAAATACAATTCTAACAAATACTAATGAGTATGCACAATCAAAATATGCTGGTTTGGTTGGACGTTCTTGGTCACTTTTAATATTAGATGAGCTAAAAATTTGGTTAGGTATTGTTATATATATAGGTGTTATTAAATTACCAAGAACAACAGATTATTGGTCAGTTAATCCTATGTATCCTAAACATGATATTACTCAAATGATATCAATGGTACGTTTTCAACAAATTAAAAGATATTTACATATTTCAGATATTAATTCTGAAAAACTTAATTGGTTTGACAAAGTTGAACCACTTGCTTCACATATTCGAAATATTAGCAAACAAATTTATATACCAGGTTCACATGTTGCAATTGATGAAATGATGATTAGATTTTCTGGATGTAGTAAACATACATTTAGAATAAAAAATAAACCTATTTCAGAAGGTTATAAGGTTATCTCATTGTGTGAAAAAGGTTATACTTATACTTTTACATTTGAATCACGTGTTGAATTAAATAGAGAAGTTTTAAATATTTCAGGTCTTAGCAAAACTGGATCACTTGTATCATATCTTGTTACACAATTATCTAATAGTCAGGCATATAATATATATATGGACAACTATTTTGCAAGTATACCTCTCTTTAATTATTTGTGAACAAAAGGATATGGTGCTTGTGGTACAGTATGAATAAACTCAGCAATGTTTTCTAAAGAATTAAAGATTGAAAAATCTATTCATCTAAATTGGGATACTTTGGCTGGAGTTGTTGTAAATAATGTTTTAGTAATTTTTTGGATGGATAATGGTCCTGTTCATATGCTTTCAACTATTCATAGCATTAATAATAATGAGTGGAAAGTTTTAAGATTACTACGACGACCTCAAGAAACAAGTTCAAATGCAACTAATGTACGAAAAGTTTTTGGTAATGAAGTATATAAAGAAATTCTAATCCCAAAAGTCATTAATGATTATAATCATTTTATGAATGGAGTAGATATTGCTGATCAATATCGATCTTATTATAATTGTCAGCTTGCTGCTTCACGTATTTGGATGCCATTATTATTATTTTGGTTAATAGATACTGCGATAGTAAATTCATTTATTATTTATCAAAAAAATAGTAAATAAATTTAATTTAATTATAAATTATTTATAACTATAATACTTATTAATAAATAAGGTTTTTGTCTTGAAATTAACTTTAGAGAACATAGTAATTACTATGTTCTATAAAATTATTTTTAAGACAAAAACTTTAAATTTTATTCTAATAGATGGAACTCTTGCTCATCGACAGTTTAGATTGCAACTAGCATGGGATTTTATTAATGACACATTAAATAATAGACAGAAAGTAGTTAATAAGCAACATTTAAATAAAAATTCAGCATCTATTGTAAGTAAATATTATAAACTTCCAACTATTCGTCTATCTGGTACAAATCACTATCCTGAATGGAGAAAAAGTCGGGTAGCATGTGTTTGGTGTCGATGGAATGCAAAACAAAATGATAAAGATATAAATGAAAAAAATCCACCACAAAGTCAAATTTGGTGCAACAAATGCAATGTTGCACTTTGTTGCAATATATCTCGTCCTTCATGTTTCGAAAAATACCACACATATATTGAAAACAATAACAATATATATATTAGTAATACGAATATATTTCAGTTGTATATACATATTGCATATATATATGTGTATACATATATACATATGTACGTATGTTAAATATAAATATTAAATAAATATATTTTTTTTATATGAACTATAACTTAAAGTAAAAATTTAGTAATATTTTGAAGGTTCGAATATATTTAAAATTTTTTTTAATATTGATAATTTAATTATTTAATTTTATTTTATAAAAATCGATCAATTTTAAATTATACTAAATTTTTAAAAAATATAATTTATACTTATAATTTATAGTTTAAAAATAACATAAAATCTTAATAAATATTATATTGAAATATTATATAAAGTTTTATAAAATTTTTTTTTAAAGCTATATATATATAACTTTTTGCAGGCAAATTTGCCTGCACCTATCTAACGCATTAAGAGATAATTCGAGCAAATCATCTAATTCCCTTAGAGTGTGTGATATTTTACTTTAAAATTAAAATTATTAATAAAGGAAACAATGGGTATGTTTAATTATTTCATTTTCATTTTATAATATCACCTTTATTC